TTTCCTAGGACAGACAAGTTTAGCTTTTGTGATCCCTGGGTCGCATTTGTGGAGGTCTCACTTGCGAACTTCTGATCGCAAATGCGACATTTGCAGCTCGTTTATAGCTGGTTATTTCGGGACTTAGTCTCACTTTATCATATTTTTGAGTTCTAAACGTGGTGGGAGGTAATATTTGGAGGGTATTTTTGCATATAGCTATTGGATAAGTAATTTTTATTTAATTTTATATTATAACTTGGTTCCTTATGGATATCAACATCAAAATCAAGGAATTTGAAAAAATAAATTGGTGGATTTTTTATTATATTTTAAAAAGTAGAAATTTGTGATTTGAAAGTCGATTTGAACTTGGTTTTGAAAACTAATAATATATCTAGAATCTTGGGGTTATGGGTAGTCGAGATCTGCCCCTCTACTCGTATTTTCATCGGGCTAGCCCAGGGGTGACTTTTGTTGAATTTTCGAGAATTGGGTAAAAATTGTGCGTTTGTTGTTTGAAATTGATTCCCTTCGCATTTTTTGGTATATTGAGTTATTTTTTGCTGGATTTGAGCCGTGTGGAGGTGAATTTTGAAGAAAAAAATAATTTTGGAGTATTAAATTGGCTTGTTTGAGGTAATATCTTGCCTAACCTTGTGTGGGACAATACCCCTTAGAATTTAGTCTAAATTGCATATTTGTGGTATGTGAAAAATAACGTGTATACGAGGCGACGAGTGTGTACATAGACTTACGTGTTGGTTATGACCGGATTAGACCGTAGGCTATTAATATGCCTTAATTTGATAATATACTTTATATGAAAATGCTTAAAGCACTTTGGGAATAAACGATCACGATTCCCAAAGTCATGCTTTATTTGTTGAATACTTCTCCGCACTTTTATGGTATTGTCATGTCCTTGTGTACTTTGTTGTTAAGCTGTGATCTTATATCTTGATGAAACTTTGGGTATTGTTGCTTTGTGATATTGTGGCACATGTGGACATGTTGTGCAAGTTGATTGTCGTTGTGTGGAGTAAAAGAGTGGCATATTACTGTTGATGTTGTGTTATGCACATGCGGCGACACAAGAAAGGCCTTTCATTGTGATGTGCATGCGGCGACATAAGGGTGACGATATGCGCATGCAGCGACATAAGGAGACATTTCATTGTTATCTTCATGCAACAACATAAGGGTGGCATTGTTGATGATGTTATGTGATATTTCGGGGTGTTCTTCTTGATGTTGTTCCTGTGTTGAAACGAGGTTGATATTTTGATCGCATACTTGTTAATTAAAAGTTTATGTCTTGTGTTTTTATGAGTTGATAGTTGAATTTGACATGCTATTACGTGTCCCACTCCTATTTGATATTTTTTTGACAAAATATGGGTTATTCTACATTGAGTTGTTGTTACACGCTTTACGATGTCGATATTTGTCTTTGTTACATATTCTGTTGTCAGTTTTTTGGATATCTGACACAAGTAATTTGACTAGTGAGTATCACATAACTTGAACCTCGTCACTACTTCACCAAGTTTAGTCTTGATACTTACTAGGTAGAGACTTTGGTGTACTTATACTACACTTCTGCACATTCTTTGTGCAGATTCAGGTACTTCTGATGAGCGGATTGCTAGAGGAGCATGTTTGAGCTTATTGGAGACTTCAAGGTATCCATGTTGTTCCGTTCACAGGCGTCGGAGTCAACCTCTTTACTTTATTTCTACTGTTCATGTATTCCAAATAGTATTGCACTCTTCGAGACTTGATATGTATTCCATGTAGAGCTTATGACTCAGTACTACCGGATTTTGGAAAGTTGATTATTATATCTACGTTTGGCTGTATTATCGCATCTCGTAGTTTTTTTAAATTTGAATTTGTTATATTTTGATTGATATCGTTGTGCGATAGGCTTATCTAGTCTTAGAGGCCCGATGCTATCACGACCCCTATGCTGGATTTGGGTCGTGACAATTACACTGGGTTTTTTTCCAATGTTATTGTTGTTGCTGTTGTAATAAAAGCTATATGTTGCGTGAAATTTCAAAAGCGTTTAGGAATAATAGGATTCCCACAAATACATGTATATCCGAGAGAGTGAATATACCTCTATACTACGTCACGTTTTAGAAATGTTTAGGGGGTAATTGTAGGGATCCTATTACCCCTAAACTTTTTTAAATGTAACGTAGTATAGAGGTGTATTCACTCTCTCAGATACTTTGTATATATATATAAGGATCTTATTACCCCCTATACTTTTTTATAATGTCACATAGTCGAGCGTGTGTATCTCTTTGGATATATATATGTGTGTGTGACATTGTGACATTATAAAAAAAGTTTTGGAGGTAATAGGAACCCTATAAAGTACATGTATATCCAAAGAGAGTGAATACACACTCTATGCTACGTGACATTTCAGAAACGTTTACGGTGTAATAAGATCCTTGCAAAGTACACGAAAATTTGAGACAAATTCAGGAGTACCTGTGTCTTTTACCTTTGAAGAAGAAAAAGAAACACGTAAGTCTTTTCCTAACAAACAAACATACCTAATATTATCCCATACCGTGGAATTCGGGGAGGGTAGTGTGTACATAGACCTTATCCCTACCTTGTGAAGGTAGAGAGAATGTTTGTAATAGATCCTCGGCTCAGGAAAAAATAAGCACCACATTAATTAAAAGGTAGACAATGAGGGACAACACCAAAAAGCTATGTAAAAGAAGCATAAAAATAACACGATAATAAGATGATCAAAATGAAAGAAAATGACAAGTAGTCATAGAAATCTACTACCAACATAATGCGAGAGTGTGTACTAATCCTACTGGTAAAAACAATCTACCACCTACCCTACTACCCTAATTCTCGACCTCTACACCTTCCTATCAAAGGTCATGTCCTCGATCAACTGAAGTCGCATCATGTCTTGACTAATCACCTCTTCCCACTTCTTCTTCGGCCTACTTCTACCTCTCTCGTAGGCCCTCCAATGTCAACCTCTCACACCTCATCACCAGGGCATATGTGCTCCTCCTCCTCATCATATGTCCAAACCACCTTGTCGCGAATAACCTCATTCCTAATCCTATCTAACCTGGTGTGCCTGTACATCCATCTCAACATCATTATTTCTGCTACCTTCATCTTCTAGACATGGGCGTTTTGACAGGCGAACACTCAGCACCGTATAACATAGTCGGTTTGACCACCACTCTGTAGAACTTACCTTTAAATTTTGGTGGTACTTTCTTGTCATGCAAAATACCGGAAGCGAGTCTCCATTTCTTCCATCCTTCCCCAATATGACGTGTGACATCTTCATCAATCTCCCCATCCCCCTGAATAATAGACCCAAGGTACTTAAAACTTCCTCTCCTAAGGATGACTTGCGAGTACAGTCTCACCTCCTCTTCCCCTCCCTGAGTCTCACCACTGAACTTGCACTCCAAGTATTATGTCTTGGTCCTACTCAACTTGAAACCTTTAAACTCAGGGTCTTCCTACACACCTCTAACCTCGCGTTCATACCGCCTCGCGTCTTGTCAATCAATACAATATCATCTGCAAATAACATGGACCACGGCACATCCCCTTGGATGTGGCGCGTCAAAATGTACATCGTCAGGGCAAACAAAAAAGGGCTGAGTGCCGACCTCTGGTTCAATCCCATCATGACCGAAAAATGGTCGGAGTCCCCTCCCACCGTCCTCACTCGAGTCTTTGCTCCATCATACATGTCTTTAATCACCCTAATGTAGGCAAGAGATACACCTCTAGCCTCCAAACACCTCCACAAAACCTCCCTCGGGACTTCATCATACGCCTTTTCTAAGTCCATGAATACTATATGCAAGTCCCTCTTCCTCTCCATATATTGCTCCATCAAACTCCTAACAAGGTGAATGGCCTCTGTAGTCGAGCGTCCTGGCATAACCCCATTGATTCTCAGAAATAGACACACTCCTCCTCACCCTTAGCTCCACCACATTCTCTCAAACTTTCATAGTATGGCTAAGCAGCTTGAAACCCCGATAGTTATTGCAATTTTGGATATCACCCTTGTTCTTGTATAAAGGAACCATCGTGCTCCACCTTCACCCCTCGGGCAACTTCTTCGTTCAAAAAGTGACATTAAATAACCTAGTGATCCACTCCAAGCCCGCCTTGCCCGCACTCTTCCAAAACTCCACCGGGATTTCATCCGACCTGGTCGCTCTGCCCCTGCTTATCTTACGCATAACCTCCTCAACCTACTCAACTCTAATCTGCCTACAATACCCAAAGTTGCAACGACTCCCCGAGAGTTTCAAATCACCTATTACAATGTTCATGTCCCCTCCTCGTTCAAGAGACTACGGAAGTAGGTCTGCCGTCTCCGAAGGATAAGCCCCTCATTCAACAAAACTCTGCGTTTTTCGTCCTAGATGCACTTCACTTGGTCCAAGTCACGGGACTTCATTTCTCTTACCTTGGCTAACCTAAACAACCTTTTATTCCCACCTCAGCCTCGAGTTCTTCATACAAACGACTAAAAGTTGCAGTCTTGGCCACCTTAACTGCTAATTTTGGCTTCTTCTTAGCTAACTTATATTGCTCCTAATTCACCCATCAACTTAACCCCCAACTCTTGCGCTTTGGCTTCCGTCAAGGCTCCCCACTTGACCCTAGGTTGGCTTATTATTATTATTATTATTATTATTATTATTATTATTATTATTTTTTCGTTTTGGTGATTCTTCATAAAATATACCTTGTGTTATATTTGTGATTAACTGCATCTTCCAAATGTTTGCAATCACAAGAATTGTGTGCTCGATATTTCAGCATCCAATGATTATTGAGCATCTACTGCTACACGTCATAAACAGTTTGTTAGGCTTCCAAACTTGTCTCCTAATTTGAAGCTATTGCTGTTATAGTATGACTGCGAAACAAATACTAGTACTTTTCAGTATTTTTCACATGAGTTATGCATCCATAACTTATTCCTTGCATTTCCATTCGCATTTCATTTTGCAACTTGCAGCTAAAAGCCAAATGATCATAAGTAAGGAATTAAGGATATATAACCCTTTTTCTTTGTGTCTTTGAATTTTATTGAAAACTAATATATACTAGCTTCACATATAAATATATAGTTGAGGACTGTAACGACTGTTTTTGTTAGTTAGACTAGCCAAATTGCATGGAGAGGATAGCTGGCAAGAAGATTTTTAACATGCAATTTGTGAGACTAAAAAATAAAGTGTGTCACATACAATGATACATAAACTTTTTTGGTAAACAAACTTCTAGGGTTACGTACATTTTTGGAAGTTGTGATATTGTCTTGGAGATTGTACTTTTCTTTTACAGCTTCATGCTATTTCACTTTTATTTAACAGTTCTGCGGAAAGACCAACAAGCATAGAAAATCAGAAAACTTAAATAGTGTGGTGATTATTAAAAGAAAGATATATAGGAAATGGAGCTTCAGCAGCAAGTGAATCTTGAGATGCAACACAGTTATAATACCACCACCAACAACAACAATAGCGTAATTGCCAACTCTTTAACGCATGAATCCAGTAGTCATCAAGGACCATCTTTTGATCAATCAAATTGGGGAGATATAAGTTTTCCTCAGTTCCATCATCAATTAGAGGATCATCATTTTCAAGTTCCATTGCATACCGATATGTTTCCTTTACACACTTGTTCAATTTCCTTCACAAACACAAGTCAATTTCCTTTACATACAGCGGATGGTGCCTCAACTTCAACTGCAATCTATGATCCTTCTTTATTTCCTTTGAATCTTCCCCCAAATCCCCCTTTAATCAGAGAATTAGTCCATTCAACTTTTGGCTCTCTTTTTAATGTTATGGAGACAGAAGTGAGTGGTGATTTGTACCAAGATGCAGAGGAAGGAAAAAGTCCTTTCGAGAATGGAATTTTTGAGTTTTCTGCAGATACGAGTTGTATGACAAAAGATAGGAACACTAAAGAGATTAAACATTTTGCTACTGATAGGCAAAAGAGGGTGCATTTGAATGACAAGTACAAAGCTTTGAGAAGTTTGGTCCCTAACCCCACCAAGGTATTCATTCTTTCTTTCAGAATCATCATTTGGATTCTTGAATTTGGTGTTGAGCATTGAAATTGATCACTTGTTTATTTGTTTGTGAGTTTAAGTTTGATATGACGACTTGGCAGTTTCGATTTGTTGTTTGATTATAAATATAAATTGAAAATTAATACTTGTTACTTGATCCAGTTATTGTTGCTCGTTTTTCTGAAGTTAATAGAGCCAACCCACAGTGGTTGAATCCTGGATTCGTTTGGATATCTTTTTTTTTTTTTTTTTTTTTTTTTGTTTTGTTTATCATACTTTGGAATGTTGAAAATTGCTTCTTTGATTACCAACATCAGAGTTCCAATATTTGGTTAGATAAAGTAGAGATCAACTAGATTCATTTCATCTAGTTTGACATTTTCAAAACTTTTATTAATAAAAGAATGATAGAGCATCAATTGTGGGGGATACTATTATGTACATCAATGAGCTGAAGAGGACAGTAAATGAGCTCAAAATTCTGGTGGACAAGAAAATGTGCTGCAGAGACAGAATCAAGAGCGGTCCCATGAATAGTGCTGATGTGAAGATTAGGAATGAAGTTGATCAATCTTCATTATGGCTTCAGAGGAAGTCCAACAATACTGAAGTTGATGTCCGGATCGTGGACGATGAAGTTACTGTCAAACTTGTCCAGCAGAAAAGAACCAATTGTCTTCTCTTTGTATCTAAGGTCCTAGATGACCTTCAACTGGATCTTCACCATGTTGCTGGCGGACTTATTGGCGATTATTACAGCTTTTTGTTTAACTCCAAGGTTTTCATTTGACCTCGATTTTTTGCATTTCAATATTATGGTATTATATCTATGTAATTGTATCAAATATTGCAGATTTGTGAAGGATCTGCAGTGTATGCAATTGCTATAGCAAACAAGCTCATTGAGATTGTGGATACTGAAATTTCACCATGTAATACCACTTCTACTCCTTTACAAGGTAATTTTCTTTCTGCCCTCGCTAAATTTTGATTTACCAGTATCAAAGTACACCTAAAAATCAAAAGCCAATCATATGTCTGCATGGAAATAGGACTACTTTGAGTATGTTTTTGCAGTCTCAAGAAGTTATTCTAGTGGACCAAGAAAATCTTATATTAAAGCATCACCAAGAGAATTCAAAAGAACAAGTTAAGATTTCAGAGCTTTGAGTTTCTATATTGAGTTTAAGTCCTATATTCTGACGGTGTAAAAGTTTTTACTCAATTAACAATAGGTTATATCTTTATAATAAACATTAATCCGTAACCTGATAAATGGTAAATAACTTGCTATAAATACATTGATCGTAAAATATTCTTTTGCGGAGCTTTTCCATTACCATGATTCACTTCAAAACTACTAGAAGTGAATCTTGGTAACGGTAAAGCAGAACAAAAATGACATTATATTTCATATTACTTTCATCGACCACTTGGATTTGTATACCATCTTGCCAAAGTTAATTAAAAGAAAGAAGAAAGAAAGATTATATTACTTTCATCTCTGAATCTCTTTAAGATTCATGCATAATGCATGGTTTAGCTTGGTTTTCACATGTTTTGGTTTATCATTTTCTATGTAATAAATTTTGGGCTTGTTTATGATTTTGCAGATCGTCAGAGGCTTCTATGCAAATGAAACCCAAGGTTACATGAATTGTACTGAGTTTCCTCTGTGTCAGTACAGGTGATGAGTTCTTTAGGTCTCGAGTTCGAGCCCCTGGGCATGGAGTCGCCTTTTTTAGGGAGCGCTTTACCCCCAATGTGGGACTTCCCGGCGCGAATCCGGATTAGTCGGGCCCCAATGTGGGTACCGGATACCGGGTGAGAAATCAAAAAAGAAGTTCTACAGAAGGAATGGTTCTCTTGAATTGAATAGACAAAATGAAATGGCTGAATGAGTTTAATATAAAATGTATCTGATAAAAAGTGTTCTATAGAAAAGAATGATTTCCATAGCAACATATCTAACTTTAGTTTTTGCTATGAGGAGTTTGTTGGTTAGTATAAATTCTAATACAAAATACAGACTCCTCCTCTCATACATATTGAGCACAAAATTAACTCTATCCCATATAGTCTGTCTTATTTTTGGAAAATTACATAAACACAAAAAAACTACTCTCCCCATCCAACTCATAGTATATAGCCGTATATTATATTATGAATTAAGTTATATATAGTAACAACATGAAGATTTTTTACAGTGTCAATGTAAATTAACTAGTGATAGTAGGTTAGCTATTATTTTTTCCATGTTACTAATTAATGCTTATCATAAAAAGTACATAATTCAGTTCCAGTTAGAAGAAAAAAAAACGCAGTATGTAATGGAAAAAATAGTAAAAATAGAAAGAAAAGATTAAAATGGAATCCTTAGGTACCTGTATGAAGAAAATGAACTGATACAAATGACAATCATGATATTATACATGAAAAGTTTTATTAAGAAAGGTTAAATGAAAAGAGTCTGAAGCGCCAATATGATCCATTGAAGAAATCTAAAATTGATCATTGCAAAACAAGTAATGAAACAGTCTGTCTACTTCCAAATAAGATGGTACAACGTTAACTCTTGTGTATATTGCACAGCAAATTCTATTATAGGTAAGGCATCAAAGCTTGTACCTTTGGTAGAAATATGGCATTGATCATGCAAAGTAGTTATGCTTTGTATACTGAAAAAGGAATGGATAAATGCTTAGGTGAAAGGCAAAGCGAATGCATTGTTAGTTAGGCTGCTCAGCTTGCTTGAAGGGAATATTACTGGCTATTGGGCCCCTAAACCAGACTGTCATTTGAATGCAACACAATTTGTTACTCTCAAGACAATGAAGTTACTGTCAAACTTGTCTAGCAGAAGAGAATCAATTGACTTCTCTGTGAATCTCAGGTCTTTGATCAGCTTCAATTTGATCTTCACCATGTTGCCGATAGTGGCATTATTTTGTTCAACTCCAAGGTCGTTGGAGCTACCTGTATTGGTCAAAATCTGACCACGTGTCGATCCAACTGGGATCCCGCCTAAGTGGCAGGATAGTGAAAAACATCACGACTTGCTCCAATCCAAGTGCCTACAGTGCACATTATAAGTCAGAAAACAATACTCGAGTAACGACGAAAACAGTCGTAGTATAGAGGCACATCGATCAAAGAATATAACAATGACTCCAAGACTATATAGGAGGAATCCTCCAAGTAAAGGGGGGATTTTTTTTCTCTCTTTCCTCTCTTCCGGAGCTTTCTTGGAAGAAAGGATGCAACTCGATCATCTTCAATATATCATGTAAATTGATCTTCCTCACTGTATCACGAAGGAAAAAAAACAATTTGACATCAATTAGATTGATCTCCCCTTATTTTATCTTGTTCATCACTTTATGATTCATTTTTAGATCTAGAGCTTATTACGTTTGACTAAGATTTACCTCTCCATCTTTATTAAATAATTTAATCAAAAAGGTTTCGACATCTTTTGGTCAAACAATTTGGCGCCGTCTGTGGGGATTTCTTAGTTAAAATTCCTAGTCTCCTTCAGATCGAAACCCGGAAACGTAATTATCCACCGAAGAGAGTGGTAAGTAAACTTCATGTGCTAATCCCAAGCATGATGCTGCATAGAGGTAGAAGTTACAACCAATATCCACGCAAAGCTTGCAAGAAAAGACGACGTCAATTGCGCAAACCACGCAAGAGAATGGGCACATCTTATGGGATGACCCACGAACGAGCTAAGGCAAACCCACACAGAGCCAGGGCATGTTTAAAAGAAAAAAAGAGGAAGAAAAGAAGGCCGAACGCGGCTGCCGAATCCACAAACCACCATCCTATCAACCACTTAAACGTCAGGCAGAGCGAACAACGCTATAAGGCTACCCTCGTTCATCGACTCATCGGATCGAGGTAAGAAAAATATCATCTTGGTTTACCTTCTGTTGCTCGCTTAAACAGAAATACAAGCGCCGCATGGGCAAGCGAGCAGAGAAGCATTCCAACTAGAGTGGAAGAACTATTACAAAACAACTTGAATATCGCCCATCTCAGACATGTCAACCTCTGGAAAATGACGTCCCCTAAAGTCGTACTCCTTCCCCTCGCCCAGATGCCCCGATTGGGCTCTCGGGGAGTTTTCGAACGAGGCAACCAGGGGGGCATCACCAAAGTTCAAAGGACAGTCCGTCGCCCCCGTCCATCGACGAGCTCTCAAGGCCGAACTACGACGGGTTAAACAGGGAGATCCCAATACATGCATAAAGCAAACATTGTCAGAATAACAACATTCAATACTTTCCGGCATCACACTCTCCAATACACACAAATTAAGCAACTGGGACTCACCCAGGAAACACACAAGTTGAGCAAAAAACTGGGACTCCCAGAGGACACCCAAAACTCTCCAAAAAACTGGGACTCACTACGTGTTAACATTTCGACGAAAGCTCGAAATAACACCCTTAAGGCCAAGGGACATCACCAAAAAGAAGAGTTCGACCTCGATCGAATAAACGACGGGTTAGCATTTCGCCGAAAGCTCAAAATAACACCCTTAAGGCCAAGAGCCTTTGCCAAAAAAAAGAGTTCGACCTCGATGGAACAACGACGGGTTAATATTTCGACGAAAGCTCGAAATAACACCCTTGAGGCCAAGAGCCTTCGCCAAAAAGAAGAGTTCGACCTCGATCGAACAACGACGGGTTAATATTTCGACGAAAGTTCGGAATAACACCCTTAAGGCCAAGGGTCTTCGCCAAAAAAAAGAGTTCTACCTCGATCGAACAACGACGGGTTAATATTTCGACGAAAGCTCGAAATAACACCCTTGAGGCCAAGGGCCTTCGCCAAAAAGAAGAGTTCGACCTCGATCGAACAACGACGGGTTAATATTTTGACGAAAGTTCAAAATAACACCCTTAAGGCCAAGAGCCTTTGCCAAAAAAAAGAGTTTGACCTCGATGGAACAACAACGGGTTAATATTTCGACGAAAGCTCGAAATAACACCCTTGAGGCAAATATTCGAAAGGTTAATATTCGAAGGGTTTGGCCGCAGATATGGCCTTGGTTGAGCAGGTGCAAGGCTGTCCTTGAAGGGGTGATGTCCGCAGATACGAAAGGTTTCCGCAAAAGCGAATGCGATTCTGCAATGGGAGTCCATAGAAGCGAAAATGCAGGTGCGCTTGGAGGGCCGCCGAAGCGAAGGTCGGGATTTTAGTGAGGATAGCAGATGCAGGCGTTTTACTGCAGAACCGGCACTACATATGCGGTTAAGTGTCCACAAATATGGAATACTGGACATGATATTATTCAAAGGGTTTGGCTATTTTCTCATTTTTGGAGTTGTGGGGAGCTCGGATAGGGGCGATTATTGGAGGGCTTTAATCATAATTGAAGGTGTAAGTAATCCTTACTTAATTTGGTGCTAGATATTGATTACCCATACATTATTATACCTAATTTATGTGAATTAAAGGTGGAATTGGGGGGGGGGGGGTGAGTTTGGACTATGATTTTAGAGAATGAAGATTAGTGATTTGATGGTCGATTTGAGGTTTGAATTGGATGAAACACATATATTTAGACTCGTATCGAAATGGGCATTCAGAATTTGTGTGTTTGGTCGGGTTCCAGGATGCGGGCCCTATGTTGACTTTGCATAATTAATTCAATATCTTAGCTTTATTGTTTATCCAATTACCAAAAATTCAATAAAAATCAATCCCAAACCCACATGACCAAAATTCGAGTCAAGGGGTAGATTTCGATTACCCATAACCCTTCGAATCCAAATATGAGATTAGATTTAAAAACCGAGTCCAAAATCTCCAATTTGTATTTTCTAGAATTATAGACAAACTCCCTAAATGTTTACTTAAAATTCTATGTTTTGGGTGTTAATAATCCACGCAGATTTTTGATATATTAATGATAATATAACTGTATAGAAATCACTTACCCCAAAGCCTTATATAATAATCCTCTTCAAATATCGCCTCTCTCCAAGTCTAGGGTTCAAAATATGAGATAATGGGTCCAAGTACCGAAATTCTTTCTTAATAACTAGCTGCAAATGTCACATTTGCGACAAGGGGTTCACAAATACGAGCCTCGCAAATGCGAGATATGGATCGCAAAAGCAGACTGGTTCCTCTAACATCATTCCTTGCAAATATGACTAAGAGAGTCGCAAATGCGACCAAGTGTCGCAAGCACGATTCTCTCTTTGTAAATGCGGATGTCGTAATTGCAGCACCAGTTTCGCAACTATGAAGCTAGCCTTCTCAGCCAACCCTTACAAAAGCGACCAAAATCTGCAATTGCGGTTCTTCACAATTGCGAGCAGACCTTCACAAATTCGAGGTCTGCAGCACCATAAAATCTTAACTTCCTAAATTCAATCCAAAACTCATTAGAAACTCGTCAGAGCCCCTGGGGCCTCACACCAAATATCCACACAAGTATATAAACCTCGTAGGAACTCGCTCGTAAGTTTAAACCATCAAAGTAACATCCATAACCAAGAATCAAATACAAAACACATCATGTAAACCTTCAAGTTCAAGAACTTTAAGTATTCAGAACCAAGCGACCGGTTCACAAAACAGTTCCGATTGAAAGCAAACTTTGCACACAAGTTCTAAATGACAAATCAAACTCATAGTCAAACTTATGAACTTTCTAAACCTCCAAATTGCCAACTTTCGGCAAATAGAAACAAACTATCCTAAAAATCTCAAAATCTAAATCTGGACATACATCTAAGTCCAAAATACCATACGGACCTATTGGACGATTAAAATACAAATCCGGTACCATTTATACAAAAGTCAAACCTTGGTCAACTCTTGCAACTTAAGCTTCCAACAATGAAACTAAATCTTCCAATTCACTCCAAAACTTTCCCGGAACCAAACTAACTGCCCCCACAAGTCATAAAACAACAAATAAGCATACAAAAACCATCAAAAATCGGAGTTCAAATACACATAACGACCAGCAGAGTAGTTACACAAT